TTAATTGAGTGTTAAACTATGATGCTCACACACCTGCTGCCTCAATAAATGATCCATTTTTAAACGTATTCATTAAATCCTCAAGGCCAGATAGAAGCAAGCACTAAATCAATTTAATTTGTTATTTTTAGTAAATATTTTCTTTCTTATTATTTCAAACTTTTCAATTATACCAAGGCAATCTGTAAATAGATTGACACTTAGCATTTCGTAAACTCTCTTGATACTTGCAGGAATTTGCGATACTCCCTATCCCAAAAATTTTAGCCTCAAACTCTGACAGTATTTTACTACGAGATGGAATTGAAATGTTATTTATAAAACTAATTGAAAAACCATATCAAAGTTTATAAATCATTTATTTTCGTATATAAGTAGAGTGTCGAGACAACCAGTCAATCAGTTCGATGAGATGTATTCACTCTATTTTGTTTAAGGTGATGAACCTTAAAGGCATTTATTTAAAGGCCTCCTTCACAATATATTAAATAGAAGTTCGAAAATTATTACTAAATGTTTAGATTGGCTTATATTTTTCAACAAGCTCATAAAAAATGGCCTTCTTTAACACACCGCCTCAAAGAATGCTTATTAAAAGGTATATGTCAGCTTGTTCGCCAACTCGTTAGCTTAAGTTAACTTTTCCAAAGTAGCGACTTGAATGTAGTGCCTGACATTTACAAGCTTTCTGTTTACCTTGCACTTAAGCATAAGTCCTAGTGAGCCTCTAAATAAATTATCATTTAGACTCAAACGAACGCATAAGTCGGAAGAGGCCGTCAGGCAGACAAGTTCCTCACACAGAAGACGGCAACTAACTACGAAATTCTGTTAAATTGCTAAAGGGAGTTTTCAATTATGCAGGCCAAGAATTGAGTGCATATATACATTTTTTATAATCTATCATCTAACCGCCAGGGTGTGCCTCCTATTCACCAAACTTACCTTGACCCTCGTGAAGTTGATCAAAAGCAAGCCAATACCGGTAGAATATAGTCGTAGCTGCAACATCTTATGCCCGGCCACTTGTTTGGGCCCCGATATTGGGAAAGAGTGGAACGGATCTATTCCAATCTGCTGTCTAGCTCTTGTGCTAGACTCTACTCCGAATTTTATGGCGTAATTTCCATCCTCATCAACAATATGACTAAACTCATTACCATCGGCATAAGCACTATCATCTCCAGTATTCAATTTGCCTGCAGTCAAGAGGCCATTGATGTTATGGCAGCTTGGTTG